GCACACGCGGAGCTTCCGTGGCTGGAAAGTCGACTTTTTGTAGTACAGACGTATAGTACGCCGCGGACGCCCTGGGCGTCTGAAAACACCGCAAATAGCATGGTAACGGACATCTGGCCGCCTGAAAACACCGCAAATAGCATGGTAACGGACATCTGGCCGCTTGAAAACACCGCAAATAGCATGGTAACGGACATCTGGGCGCTTGAAAACACCGCAAATAGCACGGTAACGGACATCTGGGCGCATGAAAACGCCGCAAATAGCATGGTAACGGACATCTGGCCGCTTGAAAACACCGCAAATAGCATGGTAACGGACATCTGGGCGCTTGAAAACACCGCAAATAGCACGGTAACGGACATCTGGGCGCATGAAAACGCCGCAAATAGCATGGTAACGGACATCTGGCCGCTTGAAAACACCGCAAATAGCACGGTAACGGACATCTGGGCGCTTGAAAACACCGCAAATATCATGGTAACGGACATCTGGGCGCATGAAGACGCCGCAAATAGCATGGTAACGGACATCTGGGCGCTTGAAAACACTGCAAATAGCATGGTAACGGACATCTGGGCGCTTGAAAACACCGCAAGTAGCATGGAAGCGGAATTCCGGACATACTTGAAAACCTCGCAAATAGCATTCCCGCCGCGGACACCCGGAGCTTGCGTGTCGAAACCATCGCAAATATCGCGGGACTCAAATTCCTCGAAACCTTTGCAAATGTCGCGGGACTCGAAATCCGGGGCCTCGAAAACCTCGCAAATATCGTGGGACTCGAATTCCTCGAAAACCTCGCAAATATCATGGGACTCGACTTCCGGGGCCTCGAAAACCTCCCGAATTCGCTGGTTCCAAAAACCATCGCGAAAACCATGGTCCCCGAATTCTCTGCTTCCAAAACCATCGCAAATCCATGGTCCCCGAATTCGCTGGTTCCAAAACCATCGCAAATACCATGGTCCCCGAATTCGCTTTTTCCAAAAGCATCGCACATACCATGGTCCCCGAAATCGCTGTTTCCAAAACCATCGCAAAAACCATGATCGCGAAAACCATGGCCCCCGAATTCGCTGGTTCCAAAAGCATCGCAAGTATACCATGGTCCCCGAATTCGCTGGTTCCAAAACCATCGCAAATCAGACAAGTGCAGTGTACAAGTGACTATGCAACCATGTAAGTGCATACATTTGTCCAAGCGCATACACTTTGGCTGCAAAGAGTCAACTGCATGGAGTCAACGCACGGCAAATCGATGCTTTCGGGCCATCCCTCTTCTAGTTCAGGGAATCCTAGGATAGTCCCGGGTTGCCAGGACTTCTAGTCGAAGGCCTGAGGGGGTATAAGTTTAAGGTACCTGGTTCGGGTTTAGGGTTTAGGGTTTAGGGTTTAGGGTTTAGGGTTTAGGGTTTAGGGTTTAGGGTTTAGGGTTTAGGGTTTAGGGTTCTACGGTTTAGCGAAGAAGGCTCCCCAACTCTTTCTTGCTGGGGAATTGGGTCAGGTGCCTTCCGTGTTATCTCGATCAGTGTTAGGGATCCTTTTTGCTTTTGGGTTATGGGCTTTCTTATATATGAACGAAAAGGGTCCTTTTGTCTTCCTAGGGGAACAGGGATTAAGTTATGGCGCCAGGGAAATGTACTAGGCCATATTGCAGTTACCCTTAAACCCCCTCAACCCTGCGCCCTAAACCCAAAACCCTGTGCCTGCCTCCCCGCCAACCTCCCACCCTTCCATAGGTCGAACATGCAGACTACTTGGAGATTCATGGCTACCTATGAGAAGGGTGACAGGTATGGCAAGTAGGAGCGTCCACCTCCTTAAAGGCGGTTGCTTGCAAGCCTACCTGCAGCCTATGAACTGAACCTCCAAGTGGACTGTAGCCCCGCCCTGGGTAGGGTTTTTTTGGTTTGTTTGGGGGTTTTTAGGGTTATAGGGTTTCGTCCAAATTAAACCGAAGACTTGCCGGGCCTCATTCTCGGCCATGATGTTGGGCACAAGCACCCTGAACCCTACAGCCTTCCTGCTCATCTCTGAACTCTAAGCCCTTCCTGCTCTGAACCCCCCCTAGACCCTAAACCCTGAACCCTAAACCCTAAACCGTAGACCCTAAACCCTAAACCCTAAACCCAGCCCCCCAACCATAATCCACGCCAGAGAGGTAGCCAGAAGTCCACCCCAGAGATGGCGGTGGAGACCAGTCCCGCGGGCGGGCATTTTGCCTGCAGGAGTCGTTGGGTGCGAGGTACTTAAACCGGGCTTAGGGTTAGGGCTTAGGGGTTGAAGGTTTAGGATTTGAGTGAAAACCCACATGTTGCAAAGCTTCCAAGAAAGACGTGCTTTAGCGCGGTTGGCGATCGGTGAAGACCTTGGGGGGATCAAAGGATACCTAAATTTGGGGGTCAAATACCCTTCCTATTCAGGTATGTGGACTCCTAAACCCTAAGCCCTAAACCCTGACTTAGGGGCTGGGCAGTTCACCTTTAATCTTTTGTCTTATATAACTTATATATATATATATATGTATATATATATATGTATATATATATGTATATGTATATATATGATTCAGCCCCGGGCCCCCCCCCCCTCCCCCCTACCCCCCCCCCCCCCCCCCCCCCCCTCCCCCAATGGTACCCCCCCCCCCCGTGGTGTGGTTGGGGGTTGGTTTAGGGTTTAGGGTTTTAGGGTTTAGGGTTTAGGGTTTAGGGTTTAGGGTTTTAGGGTTTTAGGGTTTTAGGGTTTTTAGGGTTTAGGTTTACGGGGTTTAGGGTTTAGGGGGTTTCCCCGCGGATGGGTACTAAGTGAATTCCCCCCCCCTGTGGTGTGGTTGGGGGTTGGTTTAGGGTTAGGGTTTAGGTTTAGGGTTCAGGGTTTTAGGGTTTAGGGTTTAAGGTTTAAGACTTAAGGTTTAGGGTTTAGGGTTAGGGTTTAGGTTTTAGGTTTAGGGTTTAGGGTTTAGGGGTTTAGGGTTTAGGGTTTAGGGTTGAGGGTTTAGGGACCGTAGAGTATACCAGGGGGGTGGGGGGGGGGGGGGGGGGGGGGGGGCCCAGGACGCTCGACGCTGAACCATATATATAATCCTCTTGCAAAAGGTTTTTACATTCTTTGAGCTTGGGCATTCAGCCCAAAGCTGAACCCTTTTAGGGTTCGTTTGGTTTTCAAGGGACCTTGGACTTCATCTTTCCCCTAAACCCTAAACCCTAAACCCTAAACCCTAAACCCTAAACCCTAAACCCTAAACCCTAAACCCTAAAAAAAAGCAACCTAAACCCTAAACCCTAAACCCCAGATTCTTCAAAAAGTGCGCCTGGCCCAGGCCTTCGCCCAATCAGGACATGCCGCCACCCATGTTTCCGCCACTGACTGAGGCGCGCGAGGGGATGGTTTAGGGTTTAGGGTTTAGGGTTTAGGGTTTAGGGTTACAAAACAAGGGTTTAGGTTTGTGAGATTTAAGGTTGGGGTTTCGGGTTAAGAGTTTAGGTTTGTGAGATTTAAGGTCAGGGTTTAGGGTTAAGATTTTAGGTTTGTGAGATTTAAGGTTGGGGTTTAGGATTTAGGGTTTAGGTTTGTGTCATTTAAGGTTGGGGTTAAGGGTTTCGAGATTGAAGGTTGGGGGTTTTTTGCGTTCAGGATTTAGGGTTCAGGGACGGGCGGCAGCAGAATAACGCAGACAGAACCTGCAGGAGTCGTTCTTCGTAGACCTGAACCTGTCGATCTGCAAAGATGAACACGAGCCAAAACCCTAAACCCTAAGCCGCAAAATCAGGGGTCCCGAAAACAAAGGAGAGCATGCCTTCTGTTGAACTGTCCTGGCATTGCGCAATCGTCTTCGTGGACATTCTGCTTGGCTGAACCTATAGATGTTCCCCCACTTGGAGGTTCATGGGTAGTGATAAAGCAAGGTAAATAGTAAATAGTAAATAGTACCCCAGGTGAGGTTATACCTCTAGTTCCTCTACTTATGATTACCCATGAACCTTTCAGAAGAAGCCATTGAAACCCTCAAGCTTGCATAGAGTAAGTCTACATCCTGAAACAAGGGTAAATCTGCAGTAAAGATTCACCCTCTCTCCGTATTTGCTGGGCTCATGTACCTTGTTACCGGTACAGCTCTGCTCTAGGTAATCCCCACCTTCACCTCACACGGAACCCCCCTTCAAAAAGGTAGAGACAAGTCAGCAATATGCCTATAAGGTCTACGCCCCAAAGCCTAAACAGCCATGACGATGTTAAGATTGCGGTCAACCTAAGCCGCTGCGTGGAGCCTGATCTCGTCAACCTTACACACTTAAAGTTCTACGAATACTGTTCCTCAATCAACTTCCACTTCGGGTATCTCGGGTTAGAGTTCAGAGGTTAGGGAGTGTGAGGTGGCCCCTGAAATGCAGGCCATGTGCCGCAAACGAGCTCATTCCAGCCACTACTCGACAGGCCTCACTCACTGTTGCCGGGGTGGGGGGGGGGCGGGGGGGAGGCATGTTCAGGGTAGAAGGCTTTGTTGCAGCCCTTCTGGCACAGGGTCGTGGTACAAGAGCTGTAGAGCTGAAGTGTAAAAAACTGCACATGCTTGGCACAGGCAGGGTTAGTCATCGCAAATTTGTGCTAGAGCTGCTTGCTGCTTAGAGCAGCGGTGTTGGCTGACCTTGCTGGTGGAACCGGCGTTAAGTATGCGTCAACGGGTCGCAGCATGTCACACGCAAACCCTAAACCCTAAACCCTAAACCCTCCTGTGGCTCCAAGCTGCGCTTAGGGTTCAGCTGTCACCTGAGGCCACTGAGGCCACTGAGGGTGAGGGGCCAGCAGTGAAGGACAGATTTTAACTGTCGGATCCAGCTCCTTCCCAGAAGGTTTAGGGTTTAGGGTCTAGGGTTTAGGGTTTAGGGTTTAGGGTTTAGGGCCTAGGGTTTAGGGTGTTTCTTCGCAAGGGCTGCTTGCCGCAAAGGAGACGGATCCGAAGTGTACAGTTCCTGGCCGCCCGGGCCTAGAGAGACGCCATGGCAGCTCGAGCACGTTACGTGGAGCACGTCGCTTCAGATCCCTGCCTTTACCAGAAGTGCCGGGTACCGACTCGACTCCGAGAGGATGATGAAGTCGAACCTTGGTCCTAGACTGGATTTAGGGTTTAGGGTTTAGGGTTTAGGGTTTAGGGTTGCGGCCCCCCGGATATTTCATCCTTGCCTCGCCCATAAGATGCTCCCAAGACGGACCTTTCAGGCATTCAGGAGGTATTCAGGTCCTTGTGGGGCTTGCACGAAGGCACAAAGATGCGGGAGGTGACATGTACAGCTGCAAGATTAAGATGTTGCAAGGCTTTTTCTGCTGCGAGGCTTCTATGGTCGCACTGTTAGAGCCATTGAGGGTCTAGGGATTTAGGGACAAAATTAGGCCACAGAGGGCCTCATTCGGGGAACAGTTTCGTTCACGAGCCTGCATTCTGACGCCCTTAGCCTCTCAAGGACACCGACAAAGAAGATGGACATGGTCCATGGAGCGTTCCTGTTGTTCGGGCGCCGGGGTTCGACGACATTTAGGGTTTCGGGAAACATAGCAAGGGCTTAGGTTGTAGGGTTTTGTTGGTTTAGGGTTCAGGGTTCAGGGTTCAGGGTTTAGGGTGTAGGGTTTAGGGTTTAGGGTTTAGGGTTTAGGGAAGCCCTAAGAGCACCCTGCAGGTGAGCTGTGATGAAGCCGACAGCGAGGCTACTGATGACGAGCCTCCGAGAAAGAGGTGCCGTCCTACTGCTATGCAGAGGTTGAGGGTTTGGGGTTTGGGGGTTTACGGTTTAGGGTTTAGGGTTTGGAATGGTCTGGAAAAGACTATTAATATATGTATATATATATATGTCTTGATAGAGAAAGAGAGAGAGAGAGAGAGAGAGCGAGAGAGATAGAAAGGGAGAGAGAGAGAGAGAGAGCAAAACCCCAAATTCTATGCACCCTAAACCGTTTAAGCCCTGTACCCTGCATGTACAGAAATCCCAAATACGAAAACAAGGTACCCTTAGCATAGTTCCCAAAAGGCAGGCTTCCCTTACCGTAAGGATGCCATTAAGGTGCCCTAAACCCTAAACCCTAAACCCTAAACCCTAAACCCTAAACCCCCCACATACCCTCAACCTCACCAGGCTTCCAAGGGTGGGCAGCCGCCAGCAGCACGCGGCCGTGAGGGCACAAAGCCAGCAATCGCAGCTGCACCCACGGTGGCAAATAAAAGGGTTCACCTGCCTTTGGGGTTTAGGGTCTAGGGTTTAGGGTTCAGGGTTTAGACTTCTTAAGGGACACCTACAAAAAGTAGGTTTTTGGCATCTTAAGGTGTGCACGCAAGTAGTTTCAGGGATTTAGGTCTTAGGGTGTAGGGTGTACGTCTTTTCGGGTGTAGGATATATATATGAGTATGGCAACTGTAGTCATGGCATTATCTAATGTTTAGAGTGCTTAACATGTTGCTTCGATCAGAGGGTTTTGGTAGCGTTCCCGCCTCAGTACCAGTTCATTGAGGGTTATATGGTCTATAGGGTTAAAAGGTTTTAGGGTTTGGGGCTTGAGGGGTTTAGGGTCTACGCTCACAAAACACCCACACCGAAACTGCAGTGGGGCTTGTTCTAAGCTAGGGTCCACTTCTCATTGCTATGGGTGACCTCAGTCGGATCTTGCCTACGTACAACAACAAGCTCAAGAAGCAACTTTAGGGTCGGAAAAAATACTACTAGTACTCCCTTATGGTCCCTGGGTAATTATACTAGAGTAAACCCATACTTTTCGCTTTATTTAGGATACTTCTAACCCTACTTCAAAGTACCCATGAAACCCCAAACCTTACAATCCTACAACATATATATATATATATATATGTACCACTCAGGAAATTTCGCGTATAAAGCCCAATACTCGAAACCTTTGTGTCCCGAAGCCATCGCTGTGCAGGAGGGCTTAGGCTTTAGGGCTTGGCCCTAAACCCTAAACCCTAAACCCTAAACCCTGGGGAAAAAAAAGAACGTAGCACAGTTGCAGCCCAGGTCGTGGATGCTGAAGTCCACCTGGAGTCATCCTCCCCGCGTGCTGCGCCTTAGTAGCTGAATGAGTACTTTTTACACTTTTGGCGTTTAGGGTTTTGGGTGGAATCCCCGATAGAACTGAAAGTGTACATTTTTTGGGGGGGGGGGGCTTATGAACCCAGCAACTAAGGTGCGTGACCCGGCGCCACCTCCGCAAGGGAAAGTACGTGGACTTCCTCGGGGAGTGTCCCGGACTACAAGTTAGGGTTCAAAGGGTTTTAAAGTTGGTTTTGGGTTTGAGGGTTTCAGGGATTACAATTCGGGGTTTATAGGGTTTTGGGTTTATAGGTGTTGGGGTTTGTGGGGTTTTAGGGTTTGAGGGTTCGAGGTTTTGGGGTTTGGGGGTTTGAGGGTTTTAGGGTTTGAGGGCCTTTGGGGTTTTTAGGGTTTGTGGTTTCAGGGTTTCAGGGTTTAGGGTTTTAGGGCTTTTCGGGCTTTAGGGTTTAGGGTTTGGGGCTTCCTTCGGATTTCGGTTCAACAGTGCAGGGCTTTATGTACGGGCTTTGGGGTTTGCTCAGAGTGGGGAATCCCGGCGTGGTGTTTAGGTATGGGGAATGAGAGAATCAGGCACCGCGCGTCCCCTATATAACCCCATGACCGAACTACGGTACCTGCCCAGAATTCCCAAATGAGCATCAGTATGTCTGGGTTCAGAACAACTTAAGTTTGGCTGGGCTGGCTTCAGGGTCAGTTTCCCCCCAAGGCCATGAACCCAATCATGTAGGCCCTGTTGCGTTCTACCTGTATAAGGTGCCCTGTGTATGGCCCTGAAGAAGTTACAAGCTAAATATCTCCAACTGTTTAGGGTTTAGGGTTTAGGGGCTCAACGCAGCATCACTTCAGGTACCACCTGGATCTCATCCAGCTGAACGGGGGGGCTGCCATCATGATCCCACGCACGAACCTCACACTCCCCTGCCTGGCGGAGTACTTGCCAATGGATGGCACCTTGACAAGAGCAGTGCCTCAGGATATTGCGGGATCTTCTGATTGCAGGAGTGATGTGCTAAACGGGTACACGTGCGGCCTTGCCCTGCAGGTTTCTTTTTGCGCAGAGGCTATAGCCAGCCGAGGTTTGCTCGTGGTGGAGGGAAACGACATCTCAGACGAGGTGCTGCGCAAGCAGCCCGGCTTTTCTTCGGCTTGCATTGAGTGTGGGGTTCCGATAAATCTTGAGTTGGTGGTTGCATCCCAGGTCGTTCAAGTCCTTGCTCAAGTTAAATATTGCCAGCAAGCATGGTCAGTGCTAACAGTAGCTTCACGCCACCTTCCGACTAATTTGCCTTGTTTTTTCTCCTTCTTCCTGGTAGAAGCTGCGCTTTGCCGAGAGATTTCCCGCACATCTCGGCTTGATCTTTTTCTCCGATCCCAAACCCTTTAACCCCTAAACCCTAACCCTCAAACCCTAAACCCCAAACCCTAAACCCTAGACCCTTAATAATTAATCAATTAATCCTGAAGAGGTACCGCTGCAGTGCGCCCGAGCGCCTCGAGGCATCAGCTGCCATGAAGTGGGCCAGCGACACCGAGTTCGCCGCTGGATCTGCAGGTTTCTTTAGTTACAGTAGCCAGTTGGGGGACTGCTGTGATGAGATCAAAGTAGCCACCTAAGTTTATGTACGGTAACCCCAGATAACAAAAAAAACCAGGGCCTCAACTTCAATCAACGGCCCTGAGTCCTAAACCCTAAACCCTAAACCCTAAACCCTAGACCCTAAACCCTAAACCCTAGACCCTCAACAACTCCCAGGACATCTCGAAAGATGAGCTGGAGTTTGCCCTCATGCAATTGGCCCTCAGCTTTGGCTGCCCGATCCTCTCGCTCTGCCGGGGCTCGCAGATGCTGAATGTTCTGAGAGGCGTCTGGGCTGAGGTTCTGAGTAGGCAAGCGTGTGGGGCACTGCGAACCCTAAACCCTAAACCCTAGACCCTAAACCCTAAACCCTAAACCCTAAACAAAAAAACCTGTACAACACCAAATCTCATGGTCGGTAGAAGGTAAGGTTTCGCTTGCGATTGAAAGCAGCAAAGAAAGTCACTGAACCCAAAGGTAAGCAGTCCCCCCCCCCCCCCCCACCCAGCCAGTCAGAAGGGGTTGGTTGGAGTCATGATTGTTGAGTAAATTCCCGAAACCCTAAACGCTAAACCCTAAACCCTAAACCCTAAAAACTAAACCCTAAACCCTAAACCCTAAACCCTAAACCCTACTGTAAACCGTTTGAGGGGGCCGCTGGGGGAACAGGCGCCGGAATGGATGTCGTCAAGCCCTCGGCGTATTAGGGTTCAGGTTTAGGGTTAGAATTGCGACTATCCCTTGACATGTTCCCCGTTATACTAGCAGTCCTTAAGTAGTGATTCTAATCCGGAGTTTAATCCCCATTCAGGACTTTTAGTATAAGGGAGAACATCCCAAACCATCCCCCATGGGGTATATTGACCGTAAACCTTTCATCACTTCGTCTCCAAAGTATTGCAACCTTCGCCGTGAGAGGAGGGACCCTCATCGGGGATATCGAAAAAGACGTCCCGGGCGCCATTGTGCACTTGAAAGATGCAGCAGATCCGTCATACGACTCCTACAGGCATCCAATCCAGGTGGGCAGTATCCGAAAATAGTGGACCCCGCCCCCCCTAAACCCTAAACCCTAAACCCTAAACCCTAGATGATTAGAAATCCTTACGAAGGGAAGACCACCTCTCCCGCCCCCAAGAAACGAGGCACGAATTCCCTTCTGCATCCCAAAATACTGTGGTACTTCGTATAGGAGCCCCCAAGAAGGGCCCCAAAATTTCTTCGAAACCTTAAATATTAGAATCCTCCCATTCTGACAACCCCCCCCCCCCCCCCTTAACAACAAAGCCCCTACACCCTAAAACCCTACATGAAGCCTAAAACCCCTAAACCCTAAACCCTACACCTTGAAGCCTAAAACCCCTCAACACTACACCCTGAAGCCTAGAACCCCTAAGCCCTAAACCCTAAACCCTAAGTTTCGGAGACGTTCAGGTCCTGCCAGGCACTCCCCTGGCATCCTGGTTCCACGACTCCCTGGCACCTGGGCCACAGTTTGTGCGGATGAGGGTTTAGGATTTAGGGTTTGGGGTTTAGGGTTGAGAGCTCCATCCAGGGTTCTATGGCTAGAGAGTTGTAGGGTGGTAGAGTTGTAGGGTGTAGGGCAGCCATAAGTTTTTTTCTTCGCATCTAGTAGTGAGAGGAAGTGTTTCCCCAGACCTAGCACTCGGAGTATACTTAGCAGTCTCGGTTTGCTCTGGTCTTGGGACAGTTCTGCACGGCTTGCGCAACATAACTGGGCAGGTGGATGGCAACGAGCTCCAAGTGAATTCATACCACCACCAAGGGGTGGCGACCCTGGGCCGAAATTTGAAGCCCATGGCCTACGCCCCAGATGGAGTGCTGGAAGGCTTCTATGACTGCCGCTACAGCCCACAAGAAGGACGTTTCACAGTAGGATTGCAGTTCCATCCAGAACGGATGCTGGGAGACTATCCCGGATGCAAGGCAGTTTATGACGACTTCATGATGGCATGCAAGAGTTTCAAGGCACGGCAGCATTTTACCTGCTGACACTTGGCAGAATTCGGAATTTGCGATGGCCCCTGCAGTAAGACACTCCTTTGCAAGCCCCATTCTGGAGTGTTATTATGTATATAATCTGTACTCTAAGACATATATGTATGCAAGGAGGCGCAGGGGCCAGCTTTTACCTGAAAGCTTCACATAGCCAGGTACAGACCCAGGTCCTCATCTCCCTACTGTTGCAACTGCCGCAGGTGAGACGAGCACAGCTCTTTAAGTTTTAGGAATCTGCAACTTTTGAAGAATTGCCGAGTTCGAAGCTCCCACGGGCTACCATCGTGGCCTGTGTTCAACTGTTTTTTGTCTCTTCCTCAGCAAGAAGCACCTAGGGATACTTGGGAATCTAACTTTCAACTGAGTAATCTGATTCCTAAGAAACAGCAAAAACTGTGATTTCTGCTAGGGTTCCAAACTCAGTCTAAGAGCACTGCTCTGGGCATAAGGTGACGTTGATGGTGGTGGGGCTCCGAGTTGCCAGTTGAGGTAGCGGTCGTGGTTTAGGGTTTAGGGTTTAGGGTTTCGGGTTTAGGGTTTAGGGCTTAGGGTTCAGGGTTTAGGGTTTAGGGTTTAGGGTTTAGGGTTTATGGAGATCCGGTGCTTCGGGAGTTGAGGCGCCTTGGTGTGGATAGCCACCAAGCCCTCGAAAGTTAAAGAATCCAGGCTCAATCCGACTTGATGGTGCAGGGGCCGCGACTTCATTTTTGGCCATTTTAGTTGAAGGGTTTAGGGTTTAAGGTTTAGGGTTTACGGTTTAGGGTTTAGGGTTTAGGGTTATTAAATAAGAGCATATACCTATGGGTTAGGGTTTAGGGTTGAAGGTTTGTGTCAGGGTAGGTGGCAGCGGAGGTCGGCAACAGCGACTGTCAGCGAGCCATGTTCTCTGGTCGGTTGGGCCTGTGAAGTATAGTAGCTGGAGAGCCACTAAGGATCCTGGCTAGGCTGTAACAACCACTCCAAAGAGCTGGGTTTAGGGTTTAGGGTTTAGGGTTTAGGGTTTAGGGTTTAGGGCTTAGGGTTTAGGGTTTAGGGTTTAGGGTTAAGGCGTTCGGATAGGCATGTGTTGCACTGGCGAGCCGAGCTCCTACCACAGGAACCTGGGCAACGCCCGTGTGCAAGACCACAGCATCTCAGGCAGAACAAAGGACGGCACACTCCCACGTACCTTTGGGGCCTCAGAGGTTTAGGGTTTAGGGTTTAGGGTTTAACTTTCTCCGCCAAGTGTGAGGGTTCAGGCGCGATGTACCAAGCAACAACATCATGTGAATCGTATCGCATGCCTGAAGGGACTAGGACCCGGAGTAGGCCCTTGTAGGGTTGGGGTTCCCTTCTCATCCCCTTAAACCAGAAAGGGTACCCTTTTTACTCCTAGGCTACTCCTGGGTCTAGGGGACCTCTAAGGGGTTTTGGTTGAGGGCTTAGGCTGTAGGGATTAAGGGACATGCCGGACATATGTTCGGTGTGGGTGTTGCGCCGTGGGTCAGCCGAGGGAAGGTACCCAAGCACATGCCAAGATGCCGACACTACCATCTTGACTGCTTCATAAACCCTAAACTCTAAACCCTAACCCTAGACCCTAAACCCTACATACCCCTGAGGCAGGAACATCGGCATGCTTATCTTGCACATCTCGCCTTCAGGGTATGTATGGTTTGCACGCAACCCCCTGAAACCATGTGCCGGGAGCACAAGTTTTTGTCCCATACTTCTTGGTGGGCGACAGCATTCCCGAGCTCCCTAAACCCTAAACCCTAAACCCTAAACCCTCAACCCTAAACCCTAAACCCTAAACCCTAAACCCTAAACCCTAAACCCTAAACCCTAAACCCAAATCCTAAACCAAAAAACCTTAACCCTTAACCCTAAATCGCACAACTTCCAAGGAGCTTGCAGTCACCAGGTAGGCCCTTCCTTGGGGGCCAAATGAACCCTAACATTGGGGCCTCAGACCCTCTACTACAAAACAAACCCTTATAATGTACATGAGCCCAAAACCCGAAATCCCTTCAGGGTTCATTTAATCCCGTTGGGTTTAAGAGGATCATATTTGGGATTCGTTCAGCAGGTTTTTGAAGGGCCAACCTGGGTCAAAGCGGATTTGGGTTTAGGGTTTATAGGGTTTAGGATTCAGGGTTCAGGGTTCAGGGTTTAGGGTTTAGGGTTTAGGGTTTAGGGTTTAGGGCCCCACTGGCCAGGCGCAGTGCGAGGGTCGGAGCGGCCGACCGCTGGCAGCTCGGCGCCTTGCCTCAGAACAAGGGAGGTTTCGAGAGCCGTTGATCTTAGGAGGGTTTAGGGTTTAGGGTTTCGGGTTTGAGTCGGGTCTTCTAGGACCGAAGGAAGGGCCTTATTCCCTTTGTTTAGTTTTTTCGCCCCCTTACAAGCTCCTTTAAACAGAAAGGGCGCGCTTTTTCGGGTTTTCAGGGTTGCGGGTGCCAATGAACTCAATGGGTACTTTCGAATGCTTGCTATGAAACAGAGTACGGAGATTTTAAGGTTTTGGGAATAGGCCTATACGTAGAGGGCATAGGGTCCCATTGTCTTTAGGCGCCATCTGAGGGGGCTGGAAGTTTCAAAGGGCTCTCTCTATCTCTATATATATATATATATCTCTCTCTCTCTCTCTCTCGCTCTCTCTCCCTCCCTCCCTCCCTCCCTCTCTCCCCCTCTCTCTCTCTCTCTCTCTCTCTCTCTCTCTCTCTGCTCGGGTCTCTAGTGAACCAAGAACTCCACACCTTATAAGATCTTCGGATGGGCGTTGAGGGTTTGAGGGTTTTAAGGGTTTAGGGCTGCGGTCGTTCAGGCCCGAAAGTACGGAGCGCCAAGCGCCTGAGAGAGAGAAAGAGGAGAGGGAAGGAGGGGGAGAGGGGGAGAATGGGAGAATGGGGGAGACGGGGAGATGGGGGAGAGGGGGAGAGAGCGAGAGAGCGAGAGAGGGAGAGAGGGAGAGAGGGAGAGAGGGAGAGAGGGAGAGAGGGACTGTATTGAGTAGCATGATGGGAAAAAAGGGGGGGGGGGAG